CAGAATCACAAGTCCAAGTGTGAACAGTGTCACAGAGGGTAAACACAAAAACATGTATTATCTGCAGCTTTGTTCACTAAAATGGCACCATTGATGTATTAAAATATACAYACAGTAGGCACACTTCATGATATTGTAGACCATTAGGGAATACATTAAGCAAGTACTTTTATTTTTAATACTTTAAGTATTTTTAAAGCAAGTACTTACTTACTTACTTGTACTCAAGTAAAATGTTAATGTGGCACTTTTACTTTTACTAGAGTACAAAAAGAAAAAAATTGTATAGGTCTTCTGTATAGGTATAGGTCTTTTACTAGAGTACATTCTTGTCTGTTTATCTGTACTTTTACTTAAGTACAGTGTTTGAGTACTTTCTCCACCACTGGGTCCAGACCTGTGGTATATTTTACCAGCAGTCAGTCTGCTATTATCTAGACGGGTTTTCTTCACTAAGAACTTTATATTTCATTATTTAGAAAATATTTTGAGTTGAAAATAAATCACACTCCATAATTATGTTGACAATAGTTTATTCTGTTTGAACTGGAATTAGATTTTAACTACATAAATTGATTAGATTAAAGTAAATTGTCTTTTAATGCTGTTGTATAACACTACAATATTAATGTGAAGATCACAAAATAAAAAAACAACTTAAATTATGCATTAATTGAAGTTTGGAGACGTTTTAAAATGCGTCTTTTCAGAACCGCATCTGTCACTTGCGATGGCTGGGAGGGGAGAGAGAGATTAATATGATTTAGAGTTTTATTTCTGTGACTGTACGACTCACAGGAGACACGACATTAACAGCACATTTCATTCCTTCAAGCAGCTCCTTTAATTCCACAGCTGACGCTGCTAAAAAGGACAGATTTTCTTTTCTCGATCTCGGAGAGCAGGGGCCTCATGTACAAAGACTTGTGTGGATTTCTTACTGAAACCTGACGTACGGTCAAATCCAGAAAACGGCGTACGCACAAAAAAATCCAGATGTATCAAACTGTGCGTACGCCTGAATNATCCAGATGTATCAAACTGTGCGTACGCCTGAATCCACGCACATTTCTTTTGWRCRTCACAATTAACGTGGAACTGAGCGCAGGTGAGACACCTCCCCTGACACGCCTTCATTAACATATGTTAAACAGATGCAAATTACTTCCTACATGTGTGAAGGACACGTTTGAGTGATCGCTGCGTGATCAGAAATGATTTCTAATGTCATAAAAAGAATGAATTAAATATAATGTGAGTGAGAAAAAAATCCTGAGTAAAAATAGGAATAAAATATGTTTATCACACAAAGAACGAGCAATTGTGTGTCGATGTGTGTGTGTGCGCGCGCACGCTGCTGTATTGCGCAACCGGCTCATCCATCCATTCTGAGTCTGAAAATATTAATTTGCGCATGAGTTTATTACCATAATTACTGTAAATACAGAGGAACTTAAATGTTTGGTAGAACATAGATGTTAGTTTATTTCATAGCTGATATGAAGAAACGAGTCTCTGCGTCTCAGTAGAGTTCACATGACGTGACGTGATGTTGGAGAGTCTCCACAAACGCTGCACGCACCGCAGCCTTTGTGTGCAGTCTGTCTGTCTGTCAAGCTTTTGCTCTCCTACTTACAGCATTTTCACAAGTTGTAAAGTGTACTTCCACGTGTCATTTTGGAGAAATCTACAACAACGTAAACGCCAAGTATGAAACACGTCCACTGCCGGAGAGGGTGTGCCGCTCCAGAGCGCGACCATAACTCAGTCTTTAGAAAAAGATGGAGGAGACGATTCCATTATTTAGCTCAATGTGATCTGAGCAGAACATAATGTATCAGTTTAAAATTAAAATAATCTTATAAAGTCCATGTAATCACTGTTATTTATTGAACTGTTAGCAGATATTAGCTTGTGGAGCATTTATACAGAGTTTAGCACTGTTGAATCATGCAACAATTTAACACAAACTATTAAATATTACTTTGTCCTCTGATTAATATTTAGACCTACAGAGTGTAAAATGATATTATAAATGTCTGATTAATATTTAGACCTACAG